ACCTTAAACCCTAAACCCGAGTTGATTTTGCAGCCAAGTAGCTGCTGGCGCGGCTCTGGAAAGAGGCGCTCGTATGGCCAGCGTGGCCTTTAGAAATAGAGGCAACATCTGGGAGTTTCTCAAAAAGTTTAGGGTTTAGGGAATTTAGGGATCTAAGGCTCTAAAAATTCTGAAGCCCTAAACCCACACCCTTAATGCTAAACCCTGAACCCAGGAGCTCCTTGTGGTGATCATATAAGGATTCTGTTTTTGAGATATACTCAGATGTGGCCAAACTCGAAGGATTGCGACACAAAGTGCGCAACATCTGCTCAGTCGCATGGTTGAGGGTCTAGGGTATAGGGCTTAGGGGCCAGAAGAACTGACTGCTGGCGCTTGAACAGCGCTCCATCTGAGGAGCGCACTTATGGAAGTTGAGCCAAATAAGATCTCCTTGTAAAAACATCAGACTTAAAAGGAGAAAATGATATCATTCTATGTTATGGGGGCTTTAGTTTAGTACCCCGAAACCCTAAGCCCTAAACCCGAAACCTAACTTTATGAGTTTAAGCTTGTAATGGTGCAGCCATGCTCAGAACTTCACAACCTAGCTGCTGAGTTTGCTGGCCCCAAAGGCGTTAAACCTTTTAATTACAGTTGGGTTAGTTATATATATATATACACATGCTCCCACAGGTTAAAGCGCACCATTGCATGTGAGCAGAGATAAAACCGTGTGGTAGTTATAGTACACGCAGTAGTCGTAGTAGTCTCGTCGTTGTCGTCGTCGTCGTCGTCGTCGTCGTCGTAGTAGTAGTAGTAGTAGTATTATTAGTAGTAGTAGCAGCAGTAGTAGTAGTAGTAGCAGCAGTAGTAGTAGTAGTAGTAGTAGTAGTGGGAGGAGGCACCCCTAGTATTACGTTTTACTCAGCATTATAAGGACGACAGATTGGTGTAAGGGGAGGGGTGCGGGGGGGGAGGAAGTTCCGTGCAAACAGACCGCATTCGGTAACCGACAGCTCGCGAACGTGAAAAGCTCCGAGTTCGAGATTTCGAGTTGCTGCCTGCTCTTATCAACAGCGTGAGAAGTTGCGAATACAAAGCCACGTAGAGCCCTTGCAACATGACCCCTTTGACACACTGTTGAAAGGTTGGGGCAGAAGCCAATATACTAACATTACGACTGCTGCTAGCCGCCTCCTCGGGGAACTCATGAAACAGTAAGGGTGTCGTTTGGGAGGGGGCTTCAAGTAAGGATCAGAATATACTGGATATGTAGATCTAATATAACAAATCGGAAAAAAACGATGGCTTTACAGGGATTATGTAAGGGCCGTGGCTCATAACATCCCAGCAACATTCCCCGGAATATCTCAGCAACGAGGATTGCAGCATGTTGAAAGTCTATATGGGCTATAATCTAAACTCCTAGCATCCCCCTTATTAACCCCTGTAATATTCCACTATATAACCCGCCCTGTAAGGAGTTTGGACCCTAAACCCGAAGCCCTCAACCCCACATAAGCCCCCCTTTAAGGTAGCTCATGTTTTTGGAACCCCATTCTGTTTTATCAAGTTTGAGCTGCTGACTTACAGAAGAAAACCGTCAACATCTAAAGCCTAGAGCCCTAAAACCCTAAAACCCCACATCCGAAAACCTTAGCCCATAAACCCTAAACCCATAAATCCTACACCCCAAATCCTAAGCCCATAAACCCCAAATCCCAAACCCTATCTGAGGGCCCCACAGGTCAGCACAGCTGCGCTTGGCGCCTCCGGCATCTCGAAGACTCACGGAGTGATACCTGTCTGAAGGGGTTTTATATAGGGATAATGGAAAAGAAAATGGAAACTACTATATAGTAATAACAATCTTACAAATGGTCCCAGTGATTCTTGATTTGAACTGCACTGTTTGGTTGAGGGCTTAAGGAACTTAAATTAGGCCACCGTACTATGGGTATATAGGATTGAGAGCTGAGTGCTTCATAGGTTTAAGCGTTTCAGGATGTTTCAAGGAGATGATATTCTAAGTGTTTCATAGGGGTTATACAGGGGCTGGAGCGGCCGACATAGGGATTGTATGGGGATCATTTAGGGTTTAGGGATATGAGTATTACCCCAATTGGAGAATGAAATGGAAACTGGAGATATCTGGGGGGTTATGGGGTTGATACTATCCCTCCTGCAGGACCTAAGTATCTGGTACTTTGCAA